ACTTTACAGTTAAAGTTCACTAACTTTGACAAGTCGTTGCCCTTGATTGCGTAAGCATAGACATTTTTTAAAAAGCAAACTTAGTAGAACCACTCTTTATGTACAAAATGGTGTTTGGTTCACAATTTAAATGTTAAAACTAGAATCGCTATATGATACCGCGCGAAGCGGTTTTCTGACGTTTTTCAATGGGGGTAGGGAACCCTCTTAAAGCAATTTTCTAGATATTTGTTAGAAGGATTCGGGTTTTAATTGGTATGTTACCGTAGAAATCAATGCATATGAAAGTCACTTTACATAATTTACTTATAGGAACAGTGTGACATATAAGAGTCATACATTACAACTCTGCTGTGAACCAAGAAATGTGGAGTTCCAATATTCTTTTTACTTATCAGCTGTTGTAAACTCAGTTGTAAATTTTGATTGTAAACAATTGCAAGTATCGAAAGTATGTATCGATTGTTTTCAATTATAGTTAATTGTTTCCTCATTGTAAATAGTTCTGCATATCGATAGTATAATATACACTAACACATTTGGTATAGACGAAACGATTAAATTACTTACACTTACTAAACAGCTGAATGTTAAACAAGCTAGAAGTAGTGTTGAGAGGTTATCCTTAAAAGAAAACTATTTCGGTTTTATAAGATATTTTGTTTAAATAATGGTGCAATATGACGAAAAATATGAACAAAAAGTATATTTTCAACCCTCGCTTATTTTTCGACCTCGGCTTCGCCTTGATTTTAAAATTTGACCAAGGGTCGAAAGGAGTCACTTTAGGCCCTAGTGATGGAATATACTGTTGTAGGTAAAATTTGTATTTATAATGAATACTTTACTAAGAATTCAAGAGGCAAGGGTGTTATTTCGCATAACCTTTTAAACTGACTGTGTTACATAAATAGAAGGTCGTTAACCCCTTCTCAATGTACCGAACTTTATTGACGAGACTTCCTGGTAAACATCAATTTCAATCAACAAAACACTGAGTTGCAAATTTTTTTGAATGATTGCACAGTACAACGATTTTTCGTTAATAACAAAAAGGAGGTACTTTGAACTACCAACAACAAAAAAGAAGGATTCTAATTGAGCGTTATTGATGTTGGTCTTGGTCCAACAATAATCAAAGATTATGAATCGGAGCCAAATCAGACAAAACTTCCTTTCTGATAAATTATATCAATTGGTTCATTCTTGATTGCATCGTATCTTTGCCAATTAAGTCTATAAAATCACAAAAAAATGCGTAACAAAGGTAAATTGGCAAGAATGTTTTTAAAACTATTTTTAATATTTTTTATTCAAAAGATCTATTAATGTTTATTTAATTAGAGTACGAAAATATGGTCCACATCCAAAATAATTGATGTTTTCAAAGGGGTATTTCTTATACTCTTTGGAAGTATATCTTAGGTATTTCCTAACTAGAAAAATTTCAGTCTATAGAGAAAGGTGCACAGAAATAAAGAAATTTTAATTTGTTATAAAACACCTAAGTAGGTATTTTTTTTTAACCCATCTCAATTATTCCGATCCGTAAGCTTTTTAATTTATGTGATTAAATCTAACTATGTCTGAAACCTGTAAATTTCTTCGAACGAACCAGATGAGGCAAACAAAATGTTGAATACATCGACAACAGCTTATGGCATACCAGAAAATAGCAATTTCAGGAGCTAACTTATAAATAAAAAATTATACAACCCTTTTGTTCTATAAGTTAGTTAGTTTAAAGAATGGTGCTGTTTGACAAAGAATAAAGTCCATCAACCGAGCCAAAATTGTCTTTTCGACCCTTGCTCATTTCCCTCGGATTTACGTAGGTCATTTACTTGAGCTCGGTTGAAAATAAATATACTACGCATTGACGACATATTCCAGTCAGTGGACATTTGGGAATAGCCCTAGTGATAAAACATATACTTTAGTTATAGGTAATACCAAATTCACAAAATGTTATATGTTAGCACGGGTTGATCATGCCAGATGACATTTAATGATGCGCAAGTGGTGGCAATTAACATACCTAACGTCAGTGTTGCGTTCGTACTCAAAACATTTACAATTTCCATCTTACTCTTATGTGGAAAAAGAAAAACAATTGTAGTTTGTAAATGTTTTGATCAAATTTGACTATTAGCGAATTTCTCATATAGGGAATAAGCTATTACCGTAGTACTCATGGTAAGACCTGGACGCGGGACCGATTTTTTTTTCGTTTTGAGGTCCCTAGAGGCCAAAAACACCATCCGTTCACATTCACACACACACACACACACATATATATATATATATATTTATATGTTTATATATAAATATATATATGTGTCCGTTAGCACGATAACTCGAGCAAAAATGATCCGATTTTGATGAAATTTGGTACAAACGTGTAAACCTACGTTTATTCGAACGAGTTCACGATCCAGCTTGATCGGACCATGGGAACGGGGATTTACGGCGGGTTTTATGGGGTAAAAATAGGTTTTTCCCATTTTTGACCCAAAAAACATAAAATTTAGCAATTTCTTTCCAAACCACTTTGTAGAGCTTAAAAAACAAATAATTTAGTATATTGAAGCGTTATTATGAGCGTAATGGTTACGGAAAAAATCCCAAAAAATTGTAAATTTAAAATTCCCATGTTATTCTTATGGAGAATAAGTAAACTGTTGTAGTTTGCTTGTTTATGAACATATTTTGATCAAATTTGGAAAATGTTTTTATTTCTTACTAACTATTAACATTTTACAAAAAAAAAAAAAAAAAACAGTTTTACCCTCCCTGATGCAGCAAACCTAAGTATATGTTAAACTAATTCTATTTAAATAGGGAATTAATGTTCTATCCAATCAGTCAAATGGAAATTCGCTTAGTCTGCAGGTTTGCTGCGGCGGGGGTATTTTTCATCCATGTTATTTAAGGAGATATTTTAGTCAAAATTCAATCAGGCATATGGAAATTAGCTTAGTCTGCAGGTTTGCTGCAGCGGGGGTATTTTTTATAATTAGTTGATATTTATCTTTAACTCTTTTAAAATTGTCAATCTTATACTTATAATTTAGATTTAAACTTTTTATGATTTCCATTATGTTAATGTTAATTCGCCAACATTATTAGTTTATTCCAACTAATCTAATTATTAAGAAAATATTTTAGAGATTTCTATAACAAACTAGTTATAATATTCTCTTGTCAACACTTTCTCCAAAGAGCAAATTGTGTTATTGAGCTCTATGATAAAATTTCTGAGGTATAAGACGTCAAGTGCAAGTGAAGTACATAGACAAAGGAAAGGGTTTGGAAGTAGGAAATTTTCGAAAGAAGTGGAAGGAGTTTTGGTGGATGCTGCAATTATTTGCACGATGTTTACAATTCCACATGGTGTAGGCCAAATGCAAGTCATTAAACCATTTAACCCCAAGTCATTAGTAATTATCTCAGTCCTTCTTGAGGCAGTGACCAAAGTAAGGAAAAGTTGCATTGAGATCGTATGACTGAACAAGAGATTAGATTTTTTTAAACACACCTTTTTCAGATAATATTTGTTATGTTTCTTTTGCTGTTTGTTATCATATAAAATATTTTAGCTTCTTAATTTAAATTTAAACTAGTGTACATGTTGCTCGAATTCGAGCAATTGCAAAGTATTACAGGAGTTATTTCAAAACTAAAATGAATAACAGTCATATTTAATGAGTTTAAAAGAGTCAACTCAAAGATTACCGGTGTGTAACTCAGACCATGTTTATCTTCTTTATTGATAAACCTAAAGCATTCTGGCCGGTTTTCTCCTTCTCAAAATGCCTCGCTGTACAGGCAACACAGGTCATTGATAGAGGGCCAATTGAGAACGAAAAGTCGTTTTGGGGTAGTGTTAGCATTTTTAACCTAATAGTTGAGATTGACCATGGTCAGGTGCTGACTGTTACGCGCCACTGTTCTGTAGCTGCGGTCGTTATCACGATTACGCATCCTGTCTATGTTTCGTTGTTGTCACTTCGGAGGCATTTAAAAGAAAAAACATCAAATAAACAAATTATAGCTACACAAAACAACGATAAATGCACAAATTTAAGTTACAATCATGCTAACACGATCCGTCATAGCGACACAAAACAACGATTAATACACAAATTTAGGCTGCACTTTACTTTACGTCCTACACTCATTCGAATGAAAATATCGATCGATATATCGATTATTCGATAAGTTATATCGTTTGGTTAGTTAAGTAAGGTTAACCTAACCTAACTAACCAAACGATATATCGAATGAAACAATCGAATAACCGATATTTTCATTAGAATGAGTGTAGGACGTAAAGTAAAGTGCAGCCCAAATTTAAGATACAACCATACTAACACGATTCGTCTTGGGGGTTATGTTTACACAAACTCAAATAGTAAACAAATGTACTCAATGCGTTTCATTGAATTGAAAATAAATAGCAGCAATTAATCTATACAGCTGATAAAAATGTAAACAATTATGTTCTTCATAAGGATAACATGGGAACTTTCAAAGCCACTGGGGCAGAGCCCAAGGGACTTTTTGCAAAAATGTAAGGCCAGTTTGCAAATCTACGCGACACGCTCTTTCCAATGAGACGTCAATGGATTAAATCGGTTAAGAAATGGCGGAGGAGTTCAACCGACAAAGTTTCATGTAGCGTATTAATTATATAGATGCAAAGTCCATTGGGAAGGCTGATATGGAGATGGACTGACCAAGTATTGAACGACATCAGGACGATGGGTGCAAATGTCAACTTAGCAGAAGACAGAGAGGGTGGAAGAGGCTGGTACAAGAGGCGAAAAATCAACTAAGCCACGGCAGTAACTAAGTAAGTAATTTAAATTTTCATGAGCAAAGCCGCGATGGATTGTACTAGTGGTAAAACGCTTGTTTTCTCGAACACACTTGCCAACATGTTTACAGCAGATGACGTTAATAGTCTGCCTCATTAAATTATCGATCATACATTGACATATTGAACACTGTCATCTCTACTAGGTATAAATTCACGTGCGATTCAGTCCATTTCAACTGTTCATCATGAAGATCTTCCATCGTATTCTTGGGATGTCCGTGCTGGTAAGTTTGGCCATCCTCAAGCTTTACTTAGCTCGATTTATGTAGACGATCGCTGTGAAATCTATATATATATAAATGGTTTTTCTTTAAAGCGTTCGTTTGGCTCTTCTATCTAACCGATTTTCATAATATTGGTGTTAAATTAAAGGTATGCACGCGCAGATTTGCCACCAAGCATCGGCGTTCATTTATCTGACGATTGTTTTTAGTTATTCACAAAAGCAAGTTCTCCCGTCTTATGGGAGTTAAATTTGGGTTTTCTTTTCCCAGTTCATTTGGCTCTTCTACTTGAACGATTTCCATAATTTTGATTTTTTAATTCTTACGCCAATTAAAGATGCAATTCAACCGGTTACTAATTACATTATCCTACATGTTTTGGTCTAAGAACCTTCAGTGAAATACCAGCTTTCATCTGAGCTATTGGTTATTTAGATCGGACATACCTGAATCACGCTGCTGAATACACAATTGACAGTATTGACAGTGATTATAATTATTTTAGGACTTATTTGCTATCAATAATACACAACTTAATTTTTATTTTAGTTTTTTTATGTCTAGAAATAATAACCTTGATTTGAAATATTGATAGTTTGAATCAGTTAAGTTCAAGATACTGTATTATATGGTAAAAAAATTAAATTTGATTATTTCTTGGATATGGTATTTAATTTTATATATATTTGTTTAATCAATTATAACTACGTTATCCTATATTTGATCTAAGAACCTAAAGTGAAATATCACCTTTTATTTGAGTTATTGTTTTTAAGATCGGACTTACCTAAAGGACGCTGCTGAATCACGAACAACTCAAATTGTTCTAAAAATGGAGTTATTTGTCATCGATTGATAGTTGAATTATTTTGCTTTTAACCCCTACAGTAACCGTAGATTTTGATGGGTTTCACCAATGAATACAAACCCTTGTATTCATTGGTTTCACCAAGTATTTGATGAAAAACTAAAATAAACCTAGAAAAGCTTCAAGTTAAATCAAAGGGATGAAAACGTTATTATAAATCTAAATGTAGAGTATTCATTCTACAATTCCATTTAAAAACATAGTCAATCTTGATTCATAACTTTTCATTTTCCTGTCTATGTACCCATTCATAAGATAATCAATTTTTAAGGGTTCCTATCTTTCAAAGTAAACCAATCCATTGAGTGAGAAACTCACGCTAAACCCAATCTTTATCTCACATGGCAACTCTAATCATAGTTAAGTTATTTTTAAACCTCTGTGTCAATTAAATGAATAATAGTACAATTCCAATAATATATAAGTGTATATACAGTGAATAAATTAAGTATGAAAACAAATCTGTATTTATTAAACCGAAATAGATAGAAATATTCTGTTTGTGGCATTGATTGTTAACAAAGGTCCCGCAATCGTTTACATAAAACATGTTACCCCTAACAGGGTTGGGGTAACTTATTTTTTTCAAATAGGGGTAGCTAAAAAAAATATATTACCCACCCTCAACCCTGTTAGGTGGGGTTAAAAATATTTTTTATGTAAACGATTGTGGGACCTTTGTTAAAAATCAATGCCACAAACAGAATATTTCCATCTATTTCGGTTTAATGAATGTAGATTTGTTTCGATACTTAATTACACACCGTATAAGTGTGTGGTTGGTCTTAAAGTATTTTTTCTCACTTAAAAAAAAATATTCCGACATCTAAAACTATTATTTTTTTCTAGGTATCCGTACTTGCGGACGCTGGTGCAGAGGTAAGTTGTTGGTCCAGTTTAACGTTTTGTTCAACCATTATTTGCGTATTAATAGTTTTGTACCAAACAAGATTGGTAGGAAGCAGTTTATGTGATAGTACTTTAAATTACAAAAGAAAGCCATTAGAAAAGTGTTTAAGAAGCATCTTAAATTTTTCTGTAAAACACTTTTTGTTAACAATAAGATTCTTACTTTTCCTTACATTTACACCTTGAACTGTCTTGTATTTGTTAAGGAAAATGTTGATCTTTTCAAAAATCCGTCTCACTCGCCCTATCTCCTATGGTTTGAGAAGACGGTCCAATATAAGCATTCCAAAACACATAACTGCTTTTTTTGGAAATAATTTATTTTACAATGGCATTAAAATTGTGCCAAAAATGTCCACACTAGTTTCCATCTTTAGGGGATCGGGCAGTGCATTAAAACGTTTAATGGCATTAAACTGTTTAATGCACTGCCCGATCCCCTAAAGATGGAAACTAGTGTGGACATTTTTGGCACAATTTTTTGCTAAGACTCTTCTTTTGTCACGTTGTTACTATAATGTAGAGCTTTTTAAGATGCATGCACTGACTATAGCAATGATTTCAAGTTTTTAGATTTTATCCATAATAACGTGTTGTTTTATGTTAAAAATTAAGAGATTTGAGTTTGAGATTATATTATTTGTGTCTTTAATAGGAAATCTTTTGATCATTTCCAAGTCTTACATTTGTTGTCAGGTCTACTCGTACTTTATACTGTTTCAATATCCAGGCAACGTACTTTAAATTTAATTAAGTTTATAAAAACTTTATACAGATAAATCATCACGTGTCCTTTGTTCACCATTATTTGCTTAGTTAAATCATAGCTTCTTTAATCTATGCTATAACTAAAGGTACAAGAATAACTATTTACTGCAGTAAGTTAAAAAAAAAAACAATTTCACTTTTCCATCCCCTTCTCCGTTGCAACCACAAAGGAATGGTATGACGGTTATAAGATGTTTCAAAAATACAAGTCAACCCCGTACGAAGGACTAGCACTCTTATTGTTTCAAGAAGAAATAGGTTTACACTTACTACATTATGCAACGGGCAAATTCCTGCTGAACTTTCGAATGATCCTTTCTTGTTGAGCAATTTCGAGGGGTTTTGCAACTAATGGTTCATTTTAAAGATAAAGAATATCAAGTAGGTGGTAAAAATAGACCCCCTGCATCAATGGGACTTCAAAGTCACCCAAAACACTTACTCGGACACGAAAACATTAAACGACGAATTGGTAAATCATAATACTTATAACAGTTGCGTTGTGGTGTCGCCGAAACGCGAGTCATGACTAATCACACTTCGTTACTAGAGAGTGACGTCATAACCCCCCTCCCCCCTCGTACTTTAGGCGAACTGAAAATGCCACGACGTTTTACGATCTTTGGATATTATAATATATATTTTTAAAACAAAGTTCCTAATTTACATTTTTTACGAGTTCAAGAAAAATAATGATACACAATTTGTTATCTTTCACAATAGTTTAATAATACTTTAGATTACTGCTTTAAATCCTGATCGTTTTACATAAAGATAGTACTTTTTCCATCTATAATTGACTTTGGATACTGCAACTACTAGGAAGGAGTATGTTTTATCTATGGAAGGATACAAAAATTCGTATCACTTATTGCTAAATCTAAATAATTGCTGCCTTTTTTTAATAAGATTTAAATGACATTGACACACTAAGGTACATATTTTGAGGTAAAAGTCAGCGTCAAATAATAAGATAGTTTTGCTACTCATCCTTCACTTCTTGAGCTAATGTTAGTTAAAAGCCTATGATAATATTAACAACAGCAGTGCCCAGTTCAAACCCATCATAAGCTACTGAACTCTCCCAGAACTGACAACCTTATGGTATGCCTCTATTACAGCAATAGTCAGCTAACCAGCTATAACGAAGTGATATCTTAAAAAAAAATGTGATTTATTAGACATGCTTGAGGAAAAGCATAACAACTATGAAACAGTCCCGTATTGCCATTTTTACAAGAAAACGTAGAAATGCCCCGGGCATTTATTAAATTATAAGATACTAGCTGTTGTACCAGTGCTTTGCAACGGGAAGAGGACATGAAATAGAAACATTTTTTGATCTTCATTTTTACATCTGTTGTATAAAATATCTAAGACTTTTTGAAACAATATTTAAACTTTATAGCCTTTATAGAAACGTTTGTGGTTTTTAAATCTGAAAACTATGCAGTAACAAAGTCACTTCATTCAAGATCTTTTAATTTGAAACGTTAAAAAATAATAATATGTGAAACTATATTACCAATTTTATGTATATAAATTTATAAGTGAGAATTAATTATCTTCTGACAATGGGAAAGCTGTTGATGAATCCCATCAAAGTTTGTAGACTACTTTTTATACAAAATGATTTGTGATTTTATATGTTGTACTTGACAAACTGTTCCCACCAATTTACAATTGTTTATACTTGATTATGATATACAACTATAGAACTATTTTATTACTAGTTTGTTTTCTTAGTTGCAGGAGGAAACTATTGTTTGGCCACAAGATTCAAACGTAAGTTGTTAAAATCCATAAGTTTGATAAACTAAGTTTAAACACGAGTTATAACTGATACAAATAAATTTATTAGTAACGCGATCTAAATTATACACCTCAGATATGCACACAAATATGCATAGGGGTTTCGTAGTCCTTCGATCATTAAATCTACACACCTCTAGATTGACTATGTAAAGGGGTGGGACTATACATATACAGGGACTATATGAAGGGAAGTCTAATCCCTTTATATTTTATTCAGTCCAACTATTTTCTACCAAGATGAATGTATACACAACTTGGCGTAATAAATAACCCGGCAAAAAATATAACCTCAAATAATATACGATAACGCTTGTGTGCTATCCTAACTGCAGACTGGGACGGGTGGCGTCTTCCTGTAATCCAGCTACTAGGTCACGAATTGTGGATTGAGGCTTGCACTGTGGATGCGATGCTCCCTGGTGTGGATTAACATCCGTGCTAGTACCTACTAGCACGGATAGTCATAGTACCTACTATGACTATCCGCAGTACTATCCTAATAATAATACCAATTCGTTAATTACAAGAAGAAAATGTGGTTCGGATTTCACTATAAACTGTAGGTCCCTTGGTTGCCATTGGCTGTATGGGATATTAATTTACAGCTGTGTCTTCTATGAATTTCGGTCTTAGTCAGTAACAAAATTACAAGATTGCACGAGTCATCCTACACTCATCATTCACTCATATTTGGGTTAAAATACGCAAATAGGGGCGTCAACATCTTAAATAATTGATAACTGATAATTGAACTGGTCGTGTTTTTACTTTAATTGGCCTTAAAATTCTTTTAGTTGAATTCGGTGAAATTAATTGAACTAAACAAATATTAATAAAAAAAAACATTTTCACCTGCTTTATAGGCATAGATTCTGCTTAGTAGATTTGTTTATCACATTATTCTTATATTTTTAAGTTTACGCAATCTCTTTCGTGCCTTGACTGGTAAGTTAATAAAAATAACAACATATATAATTGTTGCCTCATGAAACGTATTATATGTATACAAAAGTCCTTAACAACTCATTATTAAGGCTTCTTAAAAAAACATACACCTTTTTTATAAAATAAGTATAGATTTTATGAGATACTGTAGTACGGTTCTAAGGTTTTTAGTAAAAATGTAATAAAATAATATAATTATATAAACATCTTTTTCAGAACCCTGGCAGAGGCACAACTTCTTGGAAAGTGAGTCAAATATTTGTATTCTCTAAATTATACATATCTTCCTGTTCATACCTAAAAAATGTCATCTACATATATTCAACTATTTTTGATTGGTACACAACAATCACATTTTTATAAGTATAACCATACGAACAATATAAAACTTTCAAACGTTCATATAATTTCAAACAGTTCTTTTCAATTTTAAACCCCAAAAACCTTCAAAAATTCAATCAAATTTTCTTACTCCGAGCATTTATAGCCATAAAAGTAGCTTTAGCCAATTTCCCAAATCGGAATAAAACTATTAACGTACATGTTAAGACCGAAACTCTGTCAAAATTATTTAACTTTTCGTTTGTAACTCTCCAAAACGATCTGCTTTTGATGAAATTCGGTACAAACGTGTATACCTACATTCATTCGAACTAGTTCACGAACCAGCATTATAAGACTGTGGAAACAGTGTTTTATGGGGTATAAATGGGTTTCCCTAATTTTTGACCCCCAAAACATAAAATGTTAAACAATATCTCCTAACCATTTTGTAAAGCTTACAAAATAAATGATTTAGTACGTGTACGCCTTTAGCGACCAATCTCGCTACATAATCCATAATACATAATAATCGCTACCTAATAGTTACAGAGAAAATGCCTGAAAACCATAAAAAGAAAACTCTTATGTTTTTTATGGAGAATAAATAAGGCGTAAAGCTAAAACAACGTATATTGAAGCATTGTTGTCCGATTGACGGTTACGGAGCAAGTACCAACAACAGTACGTACAAAACGTACAACGTACAAAATTACTATGATATGCATACGGAGAAAAAGAAAAAATGTTGTATTATTCTTATTTAGGTATATATTTTGATGAAATTTGTATATGAACATAAAAAAACCAACCTTATGAAATCTTTTGTAGCAGCAAACCTGAGTAATCATTAAAATTTATATTATTTTAATAGAGAATATTTCTGAGATTTTTTTGGGAATATTTTGGAGTTATATATATTTTATATTTACTAATTTTTCAAACAGTACATAAAGTTTTTATGTAACAAAAACAAAATAATAATACTAATCAACATGTTAACCTTATGACTTATAAAAGTGGTTATACAAATAAACATAATTATTTTAGGATTTGGTCAAAAAGATGTGAAAGTAAACAATAACTGTTACTATTGTGAACTTGTATTGTGTAACTTGTAGCGATGGACCTGTTAAGTTGATGGACACATTCTTTTGTTTCTTTCTAAATTCATTAATGTTTTTTTTTCAGATTCAAACAGGTGTTTTGGAATCAGAAGTGAGTATTAGATACCTCTTTGGTTACATAAACCACTGACTAATAAATTTGGAGACAGCTCTGTCATAATATTATAAAAGATTGCCATAAATGCACGTATTTTTACTATATAATTACATAGGGAACCATTATAACTATAATTAATGTATATAGTAATTTTATCGGATTATGTATTGCTCACACCAGCCTAGTAGGGATAAGCACTTTCTGTTTTCAAAATATATTTGTTTTGCCCAAAAACTATTGACCATTGATGTTCAAAGCGAAGTCTTAAAACGGCCATCTTGGATTAGCCCGCCATAATAGCAATGCCAATTTAGTTAGTTTCAATCAGCCACTGAAGAGTTATTTACCATCTTAAAATAGTTTTTTAAACTACAGAGGGATTGTTATTTAAATAACTAGTATACTGTGAGATTGGAAATTTTATTTGTAGTTCATTAATTGTTAAAAAATAAACATACATCAGAATGTTAGAATGTGTAGGTTCCAAGGACTCTTAACACTGTTGTGCCGTTGAGGCTTGTGAACGTTGAAGTCATGGGGTACAGTAAGCTTAGCTGTTTGGACGAAATCTTCCGTGCGGCCCTTCGGAGGTTCGTGGTCTAGTCGCAGAAGTCTGTTGATGTCTGCGGTCCGGCCCGTACTCTTGTACGGTGCGGGAGTGTGAGGAGACGCGCTAATAAGGAGATATGCAGGATGCAGCTCATCCGAGTGCAGCATCAGGCAGCACTCAGGGTACCGTCAGCCTATCAAACAGTGATCAAACCCGCTGTCCTGGTGGTCACTGGAGTCATCCCTGTCAAACTCTTGGTGGTGGAGAAGACCAGGCAAGAAGAGAGGTGTGCGACCTTCCAGGTCTGGTAGATTCAGATTCAGATTCAGAAACACTTTATTCAAGATTTACATTTTACAAATATAAATGCAGAATGGCGTCAATAAATACAATTAATTCTATAAAATATTATCAAAATGCTCACTAAATGAGTAGTAACATTTGCTTAATATAAATATTTTCAACTTCTTTTTAAATGTCTTAATATTATTAATTTCCATTAAATCTTTAGGCAGAGCATAAAAAAAACTAGTACCTGCAGCAGTGGGTTTTTTATTATAAAACTCTAAATTATGCCTCTGGATGGCTGGGTAGTTCCGATGCCGAGTATTATAATTATGTGACATTCCCAATTTTGGAAGTGTATGTGTATTCATTTCACTTTTTAGATTAATTATAGTTTTATAAATATATAATCCATACACTGTAAAGATATTTAATTTAGCAAAATACTGTTTTGCCGATTGGTTTTCTCCCAAGTTTAACATGATACGTATGGCTCTCTTTTGTAAAATTAATATACCATCTAAATTTTGAATGGTTGTTGCACCATATAATTCAATGCCGAATGCAATATGTGAGTTTATGTGAGCATAGTAAACCTTCAGTAAAACATTCAACGAGCAGAGTTTAGACAAGTTGTGCAGCATAAATAGACCTGAACAAATTTTACTTTTTAGTTTATCAATGTGGTACAACCAAGATAAATGTTGATCAATTATTAGTCCTAAGAATTTAGTTTGAGTCACTTGAGTTAAGTAATTGTTATCAATTTTTAAATTAGGTTTTAAAGGTTTTTTTTGGGCAGTTGAAAAATTTATATAATTGGTTTTCTCTGAGTTAAGCAATAAGTTTTTGCAAGATAAATATTCATATATAGATTCAAGGCTACTATTGCCTAAATATTCAATGTCATTTTTTGATCTACCAGAAACTATTAAATTTGCATCATCAGCATAGAGGCATAATTTACTATTTAAGTTTGTTAGAGCTGAAGGCAGGCCTTTTATATAACAGAGGAATAAAATTGGACCAAGAATAGACCCCTGAGGGACTCCATATTTGACTTGTTTTAGAGATGATTTGACTTTAAGCAATTGATTGAATTCTGTAATCGTATTCAGTTCAACATATTGCTGCCTGTTTTCTAAATATGATTTAAACCAATTTAGTGAATTACCAGTAATACCAAAATGTTGTAATATTGAAATAAGTGTCTGATGCGAAACGCTATCAAAAGCTTTACTAAGGTCCATGAAAATTCCAACAGAGTTGTCACCTCTATCAATGGCATCAATAATAGCCTCAACTAGATCAATACCAGCAGTTGTTACAGATTTTCCAGACCTAAAACCATGTTGTTCTTCGTCAAATAATTGATTATTTTCCAAAAAACTTACCAATCGGGAGTACATTGCACGCTCGTAGAGCTTAGATATGGTGGGCAATATTGATAAAGGCCTGTAATTAGATGGTACTGTTTTTTCCATTTTTGTGTAATGTTTTGATTCTAGAAATTTTTAGTTTATTTGGAAAAATTCCAGAAATGAAAGAAGAGTTGATAATATGTACCAAGGGTTTTAGTAATGCGTTTTTAGAACTTTTTATAATGGGCATTGGAATCTCATCGTAGCCTGAAGTGAACTTGTTATCAAAAGAAGATAATATTTGCTCGAGTTCTGGTTCATCTAAAGGTTTAATATGGAATTTTGATACATTATTTGGAATTGGCATTTGGACAAACTGTCTATGATTATTTAGTTTAGGGTTAATATATTTGTCAACAACACTTACAAAATACTCGTTAAAAACTTCACTAACATCTTTAGGATTGTTGTATCCTACGAACATCGTAGGAAGGCTGTGAACAGGAGACACGGGCACGCTGGGCCAGGTGACTAACTCAGCAAGTGCCTTCCATCGGTGGTATGGACAGGACTTGCCCCACCTATATTCCTAACATGACACGGATTGTCGTGCCTGTTCAGGATGGGTAAAGCTGTGTCACGCGATTGCATCTACTTCCCAGGCACTTTTGACAACGCGGAACCCACTTTTTCAGACTGCCTGCGTTGGGAAAGGCGCATTGAGGCTTAAAACAATGTAGGACTGCTGTCGGTGGACACAGTCATCCTAATTATGAAGGAGGATGAGGAAAATTTTACTGTGTGTCACATTTCGTCACCAAGAATCTTGATCTTGACCGAGACGCGGTTTGGGTCATAAAATATATGAATGCCGGAAACGGTTAGAGTCCTAGCGCTTAGGTCACATGTTGACCTGACTTGAAGAAATGTGACAAACAATCCCAGGTCTGTGTCCAACAGAGTAGAGGAGTATTTTAAAGTGTCACACAACAGGCTGCCGAAATGTTTGCGCAAAAGAATTTCCCCTCCTCTCCCAGAAAAAAGTAATCCAACTGCCTTGTAAAATGATGAAACCGACAAACAACAAATGTGACCCATATGAAATTATTATAATGAAAATGTTTATAATTAATTGTGTTTTAGGCGGATCTAAACGAAAGGCATGCCACATACGACAGAAAAATACTAGCGATTCTCATTGCCAGTGAATCAAAACTCGAAAATCCGGATTATATTATGGGTATGAAGGTAAGTATCTTGCTGTTAATCCCGCAGTGCGTAAGGAGTTTTCCTTTTTTTTAGGTTGAGTTTTAGATGTATCATCTACATACCTATTACGTGTTTATATCTAAATGTTAATATGAGTAATGTTTGCGCACAAAACAGCTCCTGTTATTCATAGGTTGTCGGATACTCATCACTAAAATAAATTAATCACAATTTACTAAAAAAAGTGGAGGTATATTTCAAGTTTACATCAAAACTCATCTTCAGCCTCTGTTAACAACATATCAAGTAAATAAACTATGATTTATAATGTTTGTTAATAAATTAATTAACTAATGTTTGAATTATTTTAAAATTAAGTTATTAGGAAAAAAATTTTATATGTATATATTATGTAGATGTCACAGTTAATTTAATTATTAATTGAATTAAAACAACTCCTATTATTTTTTCCACATTATATTAGAAACCTCAGTTTTAGGCTAAAATAAATATCCACGCTAGGCTCTGTACCACAAAAGTTCGATTTTTGTTAAAAACTTAAAATTAAGTTTTAATGATTTTAACATTAGTTGTACGGTTGTTGCATCAGACAGCTATGGCAGTTTTACAAGAATTTAAATAAATGAATTTTAATTTATGCTTGTAACAAATCATTTATGGTCGTGCATTATATGTGCCAAAGAGTTCCTTGATTGCGCCAAGTCCTCAAAGGGTCCCAGAAAATGTTACTTAGTTGAACCAAATTAGAACTTGGTTAAAATTAACTTAGTTAAATTTGGAGAAATTAAATTACGTGGAAAAGTTGTACATATCGAGGCCATCAAAGATTGCTACGGTTTGTATTAGTTGTGGTGGTTTCCGAATAGCACTAATTGTGTGTTTCAATTCAGTTGACTGGAAAATTTCATAAAAACGCAGAGAATTGTCTCTCCTTTAAGGGCATTCTTGGATCGCGCTTATTCCGACGTTTCAAATGTAGCGAAAACACCACTGCTCCTCATCCTAGATTGCTCAGGATTTCAGCTTCGAATTTAGAATATTTCGTGGATTTTCAGGTGAAAGCTGCGACTGAATTTGCAAGCCACAATGTTGAAAATGGAGTTTTCTTAACTCTCAGAACAGAAGCTCTCCCTAAAGGAAGTCCAACTAAAAATGACCGACTCCTTGAGGATCTTTGGTTCGACTGGAAAGATAAGGTAAGCCCAGATTCTGGTCTACTGTAGCTGGTCTCCTTTTAATAAATAATTTATTTGAGTTACTTGAAGTTTAATTTAAAGAATTGAGATGCATGTGGTACGTAGTAATTCAAACTCTCAAGCACACAAATCCGCCATATTGTTACACATAATAGGCTAGATTTGAAACCTTGATATTTTTGTTTAACTGCTCCTTAAAATAAGCCCATATCTTGCCAATCAAGTCAATTTACAAAGTTAGTTCCGTATATTTTCGCAATTTGCAGTAAATTCCGCGCCTTAAAAAATGTTTTTACGCCATACTACACTGTTTTAACGAACTTCCCACGCAAGTATTGAGTCCAGAAAACAGCTGTTTGCTGCCAGCTTAATCAATTGGGGTTTCATTGCGTACTACTGTTATGCAATGAGTTTTACCGGACACCAATCAGCTGATTATACTTTTTTGGGTGGCAATGAGTGGTTTGGTTGTAGACAAAAACATAACCTCGCTTAGAGGTTATGACTAGTGATTTTTAGTCCTTTAGTTGGTGGTAATATATAAGGATTTGTAGAGATTTAGTAGTATGGCGTAAACTATCGTACGTAACTCGTCCAAAATGTGTTTACCGGACTCGTATGGTAATCCTGTACTCGACTTCGTCTCGCACAGGAACGACCACACTCGTCCGGTAAACACTTATTTTCAGGACTAGTAACGTAATATACTATAACAGTATTTTCTTGTTCATTAAGATCATAGGAATGGTTTAAAAACGTTTAAAAGAAATTCTAGAAAGTTCAGAAATACCTTAGGATTCTCTTGTTTACATTTTGCTTGTAAACAAAAAAACTGTCATGACTACTCTAGTCCCATAAGCCTAATGTTAAAAATTAAAAATTTTAAGTTCGTTTTAAATTGCATTATCATTTTTTTTGTTTAAAAACAATCTCAATATTAGTCTAAGTAATTTTGTTAAGTTTGGCTGAAATGCGTTCAGCCGTTATTGAGTGATGTTTCTTTATTTGTTGCATTGAAGTTGATTCCAAAGAGCTTCGCTCGCTCCGCTCAATTACTGGCCTGCATATTATGTAATTACCAAATAAGCACATGGCTTATGCATACACAGCGTAGGCTATGCATCTATGAGGTCAGGAAGGCTCTGTTCCGAATATTCACAAAATAGTAGGTACGTTTCCGTCTCGTAGACAGTGTCAACAATAAAATACTGGCTTCGTTCAAGGTTTGTGATCAATTTAGACCAAAAATACTGAATGTGTTTTAGTCTGATATTAAATATAAACGGCAAATGTTTGGTACGTTGTATTCTTAGAGTCAGTTTAGAACACAAATAATAGACGTGTTCCAGTCTCCTATACCAGTGTTGAATACATTCCCATCATGTAGAAAATTGGAACCACAAATGGGTCTTGATACTTCATGTAAGTTTTGTTACCAATAAAGGTTATTCTTACTTAATTCTGAGTCTTATACTTGAACGTCAGTCAAATTTTAGAGCCATGCCTGCAGTCTGCCTGCATTTAAACAGAAATGTGTGTTGAGAATTCAGACTATGTCACTTTGATTTCAGTTGAATTTATTGATACCCTGAATTTTATTTTTAAATCTGTACGGAATGTTAATAATGTTAAAAGTACGATTATAAAAATAAATCTAGAGCAATATTCATTATGTAGCTTTATTCAGATATCAATGTATTCAACTATTAATTAGAAAATCCATACAACTTTTGAAAAGGTGATAGTTTCAATAGTTTAACATATCTCCTGTTTTGAGTACCTACTATAAACTACTATTACCAAACATATAGTTTTTTATGGAATACTAGCAACATTAGGCATACAGTACATTGAATTATCTTATGTGACATTGAATCAACTACTACAACAGAAACAATTGCGAACAACTGCTGTTGAGTCAGCTTAGTACTAAACTATATGTTTGACGTACTTAGCACTAATAATGATTGAAACTTATTTTACAGGTCCAACTTGTCATTGTTTCTGATAAAGTAAGTCTAATCTAATCTAATGATTTACTCAACTGTCAACCTAATCAAGTGTTATGCTTGCCAATCGTGTAGAGTCTTGGGACAAGATATGAGTTTTAGGTTAAACATATACCTTAGGTTAAACATTAGGTTACATTAGGTTAAACCTAATAAAATGCCTCCGTCACATGGAACCCGGTAATCTTTTACAATGCTTTAAAACATCTCATTTGCAGTTTTATATTTTTGTAATCCTCTTCACTATGTACGAGTTTAATCTATTCACCAATGCTAAAAATCACCAAATTCAATAACAGATATAAATTCAATAAACTAGAGGACCCATGCTGTTCCGCAGCGTTAACCGTATCTTGAGCTTAACTGATTCAAACGATCAATAGCTCAAATTGTTTATTTTGAGTCTAAAATATTTAAAAACATGAACAATACTGGAGCTATTGGTTTTTAAATCATAGAAAATCCTTATAAAAATAATTTTATGTTGGTTGTTCACCTTGAGTTTGTTTGAAACTCGTCCGGTATGAATAACTAATAGGGCGCTTAAAAGAAAGCCGGAATTTCACTGAAGGTTCTTAGACCAAAATATATAGGATTACATAGTTATAACTGGTGAAATACATCTTTAATTGAAGTAAGAATTTGAAACTTAATCAAATCATGGTTTTGGTCGAGTAATACAGTAGATAAATATATTACTATGCTTGATGTGAAATCTTTGCGTGCATGCCTTCAATTTGAGACCTCAATCATTAAAATCGGTCGGGTAGAAGAGCCAAACGAAATCGGAAAAAACCAAATTTAACTCCCATAAGAAATACATGGGGAGCAAATTGCGTTTACGTATAAAGCGAGTGGGATTATAGATAAATATATGCCAATGCTTGCGATGGCAAATCTGTGCCTGCATACCTCCAATTTGAGACCTCAATCATGATAATCGGTTGGGTAGCAGAGCCAAACGAACTCAGAAAAGAAAACCCAATTTTTTAAAATATATAAGATGGTAAATGAGGAAGAGACTAAAACTCTAGAGTAAAACGTATCAATACTTACGTACATATAAATGTAAATCTACTAAGTGCACGTAGTGTTAACATTATTACGGATAATAGACTGGATACATATACATAACTTCTTGTAACTTAATGACAGTTTAATCAACTTGTTACTAACCTACTCGGAGATTCCAGGCTGACCATGAAATGAGATCTTCAAAATATAAAGGCAAAGAAATTTACACCTTGATCCACGACTTCGAGCCGGAGTGTACGAAAACCTGGAAAGGTGTAACGGATTCATGTTTGGAAATGTACAAGAGATCGACAACGGTAGGTTACAAATCATAAATACTTAAAATTGTAAAATGATTCTGTACCTACATTTTAAGCTCCTTCTTGGGGGGGGGGGGGGGGGTTCAGTATTGGTAATTTAGCTAACCCTAATAACTAACCCATTAATAATTAGTAATGACATTGTGAAAGTCACTACTAAATTATTGTAAATTTATAACAGTAAAAAATATTGAAAATACTACTATGCAATCTGATTACTTAGATAAAAATTGTCATGATGGAATATGTAACGGAAATTATAGACGTATTTAAATTTAAAGACTAGCTTACCCCGTCGTGGCTTTGCTCACAAAAATTTAAGTTAAACATATGTGACCACTTAAGTTAAACTAAGTGAGAACTTGTTCATTTACAACAATAACTGTTCCACTACCAGGAGCTCGGACTGCTCACTCTTAAACCACCTACATATTTTTTGTTAGAAAACAATTCCCGCTGAATTTCCTTTCACTTAGGTTCAATTACATGCTTAACCCTAATTTTCCAATAGTATTGCCAGATCTCCCATAACTTATAGGAAAGTTGTATTGATCTTAAAGTAACATAAAAACCTTGCACGATGTTTTATTAATTAGGAATGACATTGTGTGAGTCATTACTAAATTATTGTAATTTTATAATAGTAAAAAAGAGATTGAAAATAATACTATGCAAATTGGTTACTTAGATAAAAATTGCCATGATGGAATACGTAACGGAAATTGTAGACGTTCTCGATACACCTATACGTTAAACTTACTGTTATAGTGTAAACTTTCAACTTTTTTGCCGTGCAACTTTTATTCATTAATCTGTGTGTTTTAAATGTTTACGTATCTATTTTTTACATATTCTTGGACCAAATTGGTCATCGGAGATTCAAGCAGGCGGATACAATCTATCTATCTATATATTAATAGGCAAGCATGTTTCTTTAAAACCTTTTTTCTCAGCTCGTGTGTATCGTAGGGAAAATCTACGCATACCGTTAGAAAGCTATTTTCCAGTAGGTGTGCAGAATCCCTTTATAAATTAAAATAGGCTCAAAAATAAGCACAAAAAATGAATTTGAAATTTTAAAAAATTAACATGGGTCTTATGGGTTGCTATGGTGATGACGAAATAACAACAAAATATAAACAGAAAATCAAAACAAATGGAAGACATTCCAATCACATGTTTTATTTACAGTGTGGGGTGAAAATAGAGAAGTTTGCACAAAACATACTTTTGGTCGATTTTTCGACCACGGGGCGTGCTCTCGTACTTATTTAATACGCAAGCAGGTTTTTTGTGACAATTACTCCTCCGAAACTACTAAACCAATTGACATGTTTTTGGTGTCACTGGAAAGAGCGTAACGTGAAGTTGTGCAGGAAACTTTCTTTTTAAGGAAATAATTAGAGAGTGAGGCCCTGGGGCCCTTTAAAGTTTCGTATTTATCCATAAGATTAACATGGAAAACTAAATTTGTTATGGAACTCCAGCTGTTGTCAGAAATTAAGAGTGAAATATTTATTGATGGTATCCATGGTAACAAAGAACAAACCCACAAAATTTAAAAATGTAAACAAGCAGAACTAACTGTCAAATTAATTTTGATTTCACAATTCCACACAGCTGGTTCAAACATATTAAATACTTCACGATTATTAGAACAGGAACGGTAGGGATCATAAACATTAATCAAATATGTCACTCGCCCGAAGCATTTTTGTCTATGCCCGAATGTTAACATTTAACATTGATTAAATGGAACTGTCAAACTATATGTTAATGTCATTAGTATGGAATTCTTTCAACATCATTTGTTGATCGAGTTAGTTTCAATACTTTTGAACTGCTGTAATAATATTTTACAGGAAATAATTGTTAGATAAATTCATGGTGTAAGTAATAATTCAGATTCTTCAAATCTTTGCTGTTATTAAAATTGTGTATCCGCAGCAAACCTTCAGACTAAGCGAATTTCCATTTACCTGGCTTGATTAATACAAAGATTAATTATTCCCTTAAAATGGTCATTTTTTTTCCTATCCAAATAATATTAAGTTAATTTTAATATGAGTACTTAGGTTTGCTGCTACAGGGAAGGTAGGTGTGTTTTTGTTGAAATGTTGATAGCTAAGTATGATTGTTATTGGTTTGCAAATCCTGTAATACTTTACAATTGCTCGAATTCGAGCAACATGTACACTAGTATCTAAAATAATCAAATACTGTATTATTATATCAGCCGATAAAACATTAGATAGCTAATGTAAGACTAGACGTGTATTGTATGTGATTAATTCTGTAACTGGATAGCTTAGCTGTAAACGTGACCAGTGCTATTTTCTCAAAAACCATTATATTTTAGAAGTATTACAAATAAATTAATTTATTCGTTCATTCCAACTTACTCTTACGCATTTTCTTTCGTATTTCGGATGTATAAAATACCCTTCGTGAAGCACGGGTGTCCCCCAGTGTCAGTAAGAAAGAGGATCTAAGATTGTTAAAAATATTAATGTTATTGTATCGAAATCAAAGTTTTTCGTATTTATTATTGTATCACATTGAATCTTTCACCACGGTAGAATAAACACTTGCACTTCTTTGCTAATCATTTTTGGTATTGAGATTCAGAAAAATGTGTATCATTTATTGTATTTGTGAAGTAGCACGTTTTGCTTCTAAATAACAATAACAACTCTCTGTTTGAAAAAAAAACGTGGCGGATACAGATATTGTAGCTAATTTATAAATGTAGTCCTAAGAAATTTAGGCTACCGTTTAGCATAAAGATAACGCAGTATGAAAATAGTTATTATTTTGTATGACTAGTGCGCAAAGAAACCTTTACGCTCGTGTCATACATTATATTTTTCCTAGAGTAAATAATGGGTGGTTGTATATGCATAAAGGTTAACCTTTACTATGCAGTTTCACAAATCAACAAATCGATACCTAAATAAAATTCTCTCACAAGCAACTCAAACCTAATATAAATGGTTTTATTAATTGGAAAATATAAACCAGAATACAATTTCACAAATATAATGAAACAAAATCTGAATACAATTGTTGGTTTGTAATGCTTATGTCAATACTAAACCGTATTCCATTTTCAATTATTAATAGCAAGTATTATTTTCAAAATGAAACATGCAACTAAAAACAGCATAACATAAAAATTCCACATTTAAACTATAACAGGAGTTTTGGGATGTCACTGGACCAGGACTGTATTTTATTAAATTTAAAAATAACTTCTGTTTCTCGTTTAACAGAAGTGCTCACATTACAAAACCCCAGACCTTAGATTCACTACAGTATTGAGATTGTACAGTGTTATTTTTGTTTACTAGTTATTGATCGAGCAAAGATCTCAACGTCAATACGTTTGGAACGTCATGCTCATAGTTCATGTGGATGACCTAGGGGAGGATTATCTAAAAGGACTCTGTCCAAATCGAAGAGAGCCGCATCATTATCCTATGGTGTACCACGACAAATTTGGAGCGGTAGGTGTAAAAACAAAAATGTTAAAAGATTTTAGTGTGTAGTCAATGTCAAATGAGGTTTTGTTTTTCCTTAAACAGTATTACAACAGTAAACAAACAGTATTAAACAGTATTGTACTTGAAGGTTGTAGGTCAGAAGGTCCCCGGGACCAACCGTTAAATATTTATGCGAAGGTGGTCATGGGGCCCCGGTCAGCCCTCTGTCCACTCATGCCATGGGAATATGGCATACAACCCATTCAGGTCACTAAAATACTCCACTTGCAGATTAACCTCTTTGAAAACAGTTACGAGTATATCTGAATTAGGCTACAATCCTTAAATTACATTTTCATCAAATAAAATAAGTCTTAAAATATATTTTACTAGTGTACATGTTGCTCGAAATCGAACAATTGCAAAGAAGTACTGGAGTTATTTATAAACAAATAAATTGTTTAAAAATTAATAACAGCCATAATATCCGATGATTTTAAAAGAGTCGACTAACATATTATTAACTAATGGAAATACTCACAATTTACATAACAGTCCTATTCCAGTTTAAAGGGTTAATTTTTAACTATCAAACTTCCCATGGACGGGAAAAGGAAAGCTTACAATTCAATTCAACGTAAAAAGGCTGTCAGCTTTTATAATGTACCGTACCTAAGTTATTTAGCCAATTTGTAGACAATATGATGTAGGCTACTTTAAACTCTACCGAACAGAGTTAGGAAAAAACTGGCAGAACTCTGAAATGGTGTTATTTATCATAGGCATACTCATATGGCAAATCCTTAAAATAAAAATTCAAAATTTAAAAAGTTATATCATTAAACACAAACCAACATTCAAAACTATACACATTTTAAATACAACATTAGATAATTTACACATTGACTGTTTACAATTAACATATGTTCTTCTTCTCACTTTTTATTTTTGCTTCGCAACGGGAAAAATCTGTTTCATAATCACTGAAATAGATTTATAATAAAGTTTAAGACTAATTAAGCCCTACCACATAGTTGTTTTATTTTTGTTTTTGTATCAGCTGTCTGAAATTGTGAAATAGACATTTGACATATCTGGTTGTTTACATTTAAATGACAAAGCAAATGTAAACATTGTGAATTTTCTCATGCTTCCATGGAGACCAATTATTAATATTTAATTTCTAACAATAGCTGGAGTTTCAAAACAATGTTTGTTTCCCACGTTAATCTTATGGAGAAATGCGAAACTTTAAAGGGCCCCAGGGCCTCACTCTCTAATTATTTACCTAGAAAGAAGGTTTCCTGCACAACTTCACGTTACGCTCTTTCCAATGACACCAAAAACATGTCAATCGGTTCAGTAGTTTTGGAGGAGTAATTGTCACAAAAATCCTGCTTGCGTATTAAATAAGTAATAGATATAGATTTGTAACAGCACCAACGTGTTAAGTGCTAACAAAGAAGCTATTAAGTATTTCAACCTATAGAATCAAAGAACATTGCGGACAAATCATTAAAGTGGGCAATTGTAGACTCTAGAGATTGACAAGTGGGTCTCGATAAATATTTCAAGGGTGGAACATTGTGAATATACGTATCCAGGATGGGTAGAAGGGTGCAAGGGATAAGCTACTATTGGTAATTTTCTGTGTATAGCTCACGAGGGTGGGAGTACCAGGATAAGAAGGCCACTGCCATTATTCAGTTTTCATTCTAAACTCAATGACGTAAATAATAAATCAAAGAAATCAGTCAACTATTTAACAATACCCCCACTACAGCAAACCTTCAAACTTAGTTGATTTCCATTTGTGTGATTACATACTCACGCATTTCCGTATTACTCAATTCATGACCCAATTTAAACAAAACGGGAAAAAAATTACTCGAGTTATCATATTCAAGGACACACCTTGTTTATTTTGATGGTATTCTCGCCAGGTGAGTTATATGTTTTATAAATTTAGTAGTTAACTACATTTTTCAACTAACGTAATTATATGGTCTAAAGCACTTTTGATACATCCAAATATGAAATAGGCAAGCAAAATTTTTGTTGACTGAACTCCTCATTACATGCTCATGGTTTCTCAACCGATTTTGTCATTTTCGGACTCATTGGAATGATCTGTTCAAGTAGATGTCATATGAGGCCTTTATAAGGAAAATGAAATAATTTACAAGGAACATTTGTGGCTTTAGGTCCCGTAGCACCCATAGATACGTATGTCTGCAATGTTCCGGTCTTGAGACGTGTAAAACCCCTGTCAGGTGGCAGTAAGCCCAGTGTCCACAATTGCACGCACTGATGAAGTGTCCACATTTGCCCAACGACACGCGCAGAGTAGATGTTGAACTTGAGCTTAACAGTCTTAAAGAAAGGAAGAATTGGACTTTAATCGTATTTAAGGGGACTACAATTCCAGTGCACATTGTATTAAAAGTGAACGTATTACCAACTGAACTCCGATTTTGTGGCTTGACAGTAACAAATCTGGTTTTACAGACGCAGGTGGAGGATGTAATTGGTGGATATTCGAATGGGGGACCTGAAGATCCTATCATATGGCCATGCCATGTCCAGGAATAAGCCAGTCCATGGAAACGCAGCACTCACTTGGGTAGACAAACTCTTGTAACGTACATGCAATCAAATATAGAACTATGTTTCACTATTCGTGCATTTTACCTTTCCTTGTCTATCATCCTGAAACACTTCCGTTTTTAAAAGTGTTCGGTGATTTGGGTCAAACAAATATAAATGCTTTTATTAGGCTTTTATTAATACTTTTAATTGTACGTTATGGATCAAAATTGCAGACATTACTAGGTGTACAATGCAGTTGTCTGCTTGCGATATTGAGCGGACATAGGATATTAATCCAATGTATTTCCAAAGTCAATGCTACATATGTTTAACGTAAATGGGATGTATACCTGCAGTATCAAGTCAGTGGCGAATCTTGTTGATGGAAACGATACGTCTCCTTACAGTAACTTAAGTCAATTGTACATCTCTGCTTCACAAATGGGATCTCTACTTACAGTATCTAAAGTCAACGGCACACCTGGTTCACAAAGGAGAAATCTACTTGCAGTATCATGTCAGTGGCGAATCTTGTTGATGGAAACGATACGTCTCCTTACAGTAACTTAAGTCAATTGTACATCCCTGCTTCACAAATGGGATCTCTACTTACAGTATCTAAAGTCAACGGCACACCTGGTTCACAAAGGAGAAATCTACTTGCAGTATCATGTCAGTGGCGAATCTTGTTGATGGAAAAGATACTTAAGTCAATTGTACATCCCTGCTTCACAAATGGGATCTCTACTTACAGTAACTAAAGTCAACGGCACACCTGGTTCACAAATGGGATCTCTACTTACAGTATCTAAAGTCAACGGCACACCTGGTTCACAAAGGAGAAATCTACTTGCAGTATCCAAAGTAAATGGTCTATTTGGTTCACATAAATGCGATGTTCAGTCCTTTTAGATAGGGTGGTGTTTTGGCCTGTATAAAATCAAATTACAACAGCTAGTCTTTGTGAATAATTCGTAATATTTTATAATAAACGTGATTCCTTTCTGGAGAAAAGTAAGAATTAAACTTTTTCCAAAATCGCTTCGTTAAACAGATATCTACTAATTTTGTATTGTTCATATACAATTTTTAACTTTGGCTAAAATTGGTATGTATGTTAAGGGGAGCAGTGTGCGAAAATGCCCAAAAAATAAATTTTTAATAAATGATGACAAAATATTGTGCATTTTGTGCTGTTTAAGAAAATATATAACGCTTTATAGTTTGGATATTTTTTATATAAGAAGGAATCATTAATTATGCATTAAGATACATTAAGGAAACTACCCATTTTCCCGGTTTTTCCTGATTTACTAAGCTTGTAATAGTCTAATCTTAAATCAAACTGCATATTTGAATTTAGGAAAAAACTGAACAATTTGAGTACCCATAGTCTAATATTGTATATAAAAATAATTTTCCTGGATTTTTGAAAGAGGGCCCTTCTGGATTCTACTGAGCCTGCCCTTCAAGGGTTCAAATGTGAATATCCGAAAGCTAGTTTTTATAAGTTTAGGTACCATACTAAAGAAAACTACTTAACTCATCAAGCCCAAATTTGACACAATACTTCCTGTTACCATGGTGAATAGTTTCATGCATTTTTAGAATGTTACCATTAGTTTTACTTTAAAAATAAATGGTTTAGTATAAAAAAAAGAACACAATAAAAAATTAGTAATTTTTTATTTTATATTTTAAAAACTATACCTAATTTCTTGTTTATATAGCATGAAATCATAGAAAACAATCTAAGGAATGAATATAAACAGAATTTAAGTCAGTTTCTCTAACGGTTTAAAAAAATGTACCTATCTAATCACATTTTTTCCCATAAGAATAACATGGGATGGTATTCGAGCACTGCTCCCCTTCTAGGTTAGTAATAAAAAATGTAAGTATACCATTTTTAAGAAGAAATTCTGTGCTATAAAAAGAACATAAAAAGTAAAAATTTGATAAAAAATATAAAAATTTCGACATTGACTCCCCTTAAGGGGCCGCGCTATCTAACCGCCGCGCGCTAATACAAGGGTTTAGGATCTTTGTAACTGTTGGCTTATTTCTCAACCGATTGAAAATATATTCATGTTACTTTATTAGTTTATTATTTTTTTGCTTCTATGGTTGTAATGTTTTGGCAATAGTAGAAACGAGCAAATGCATAAATAACGAGGTAAAAAAATCAAGAGGGGTTTGGAGGGGGAGGTATGAAGTTTATTTCCGCTTAAAATTGACTCTTTAAGCCTTTATATTTTGGTCTGTAAAGCAGAAAAAAATTTGAATCTGAATACATCCCAAGTATACATGTAAATCTGAAGACCGAGTAAAATTTGTATAATTATTACTTATTATATCCCGGAATCGACACCAAACACTCTCAGTGAATATCCCATTTAGGGAATAAGCCATTACCGCAGGTCTCATGACAGGACGTAGACCCAGGACCGATTTCTTTTTCGTTTTGAGGTCCCCAAAGGCCAAAAACACAATTGGTTTAAATTCATATATATAGTTGTATATAGCGGGGGTATTTTAGTAGTGGTATAGCTAAGCTCTTCTTCCAAAATAAGTTCCAGGCCAGTTTTGTTGCCAGAAATAATCTATTTTCGCTATTAATACACGTAAGAGATTTTTATCATTATAAACCTTCGAAGATTACATATGGGTCTCATGGGTTGCCATACCGCTTTGACGGTTACGCGAACGTAAACAACATAATTGTACCAAATATTTATCAACTAACCATCCATAGGAGCACATTACAAAAAGCACAAAAAAGGGACAATTGGATTAGTCACCGGTCTATGTTGAGTTGTAAAACTCATGAGAAAATAAAACAAGGTCGTCCACCAAAAAATAATACAGAACCAATTACATCAAACATCATAACTAGTATGATTTCGGTAAGATGGGAATTGGAAGCTACTAGACGCTATACTCGTGCTTTGAAACCAGGTGAGGAATTGGAAAATAAAATTTTCATACTTTATACACTTCTTATAAAATTGTTACACCATTGCCATTGTTGAACCGTGTGTATGTTTCTGTTAAATCTAGGCTACATAGGTAATATAAAAGTGGTGCTGATATACCTATGAGAATACTGTACAGTATATATTTTAACCTGAATCATATACATACCGACAGTATTAATATGATTCAATGTTAAAATATACGCATGATCATATGTGTATTTAAATAAAATCCATTATTTGAAGTCCACTAATTGGTCAAACGTATCTTACCACCTATAGTAATGTAGCTCAGCAAACGATCATTAATCGTTACTATTGTCACATCAAATATATTACCCAAATTATTTGATTTAAGTCTTTAAGTAGTTTATCAAGTAAATTTTAAAGTAAGCAGAAATACAAGTTATTACATATACATACTACATTATCATACGGTAAACTACGATATTCAACCTATTATAATAGATTAAAATTAGATTACAAAAGAAGATTTAGATAAATGACATTGAGCAAAATCTGCTCTCCAAGTATACAGTATACTTATGATTTTTCTCAAGCAAAGCTAGGTCCCTAGGTCTTAAAAACAATACTATCCTTATTATAAGCTTAATTCATGTATAATTTTAAAGTGCATAAGTAATGCTTGTTATGCAGGTTTTAATACAGTTGATAACAGTAAAACTTAAATCAAATTAGGCCCTACATAATTTACGAAACAAACTTTATAACTTTCCGAAAGGACTGTGATCTTCCAAAAGTCTATATATTTTATATACTTTTATTATAATTTTATATTTCAGTTTTAGTGGGAATGGAAATTAGTTCAAGACATCTTATTTGTTTAGGACAAGTGATCAAGCATTTACAGTTCTTTTATGCAGTCTTTTTACTACCAGATCTATAAAAACTTGAATCAACCTTAATTTGGTATTTTTGTTTTGAAAACAAATCTGATAGAGATTCGTATATAATGTCGGTTATTTAACCGATTTTAACAGAACTTTTACACAAAAATATATTTAAACTAGTTCGAGAAAACACCCAATAATTATTAAAAAAAACTTGCTCTTGAAAAAACGACAAAGTAAAGTTGTAAATGCATTTTGATTAAACGCTTGCTTGTTACCAATGTACTACTTTGCCCAATCGTCTTCCTTACAAAGAGTTTAATTACTGTAGACTGGTGTTTCATGGATATAATATTTATAAATTTCCAAATTTAAATTCCTTTGTTTTTTTTATCAGACAAAACAAATATTGTATAACTGCCATGTTTGAGGGACTTAGCTAATTACTAATTGACCTATGATCACGCTCATTCCATGTAAAATTTAAGTTGATTTTTTCCATAGTTATAGTGATTGACATACCAACTGTAATCAGTATTATAAGTTTGTTTAAGTTTGCAGGTTTGTAGACACAAAAGTAATGTTTAACACTGATCCCCATTAAATGGGACTTCTACCAACAACAGTTAACCATCAAATATGTCTGTTATGTTTACATAACTGAATCCCACTCCTGTTGTTCCATATAATCAATCTGACAAGTCAAACACAATCTTCATCTCCGCTGTAACCACTGATAAACTGAGGTAGGCCAAGCATGTCATTAGGGATATTTACCCAGAAATACCCTTGATGTACCTTACTGGGCTAAAAATTATAGCGAGATATGCCTTATTTTTTACTACCACCACTGTAAGAACGAAAAAGCTCTTTCCCTGGGATGCTTTGCTTTTTTTAAATAAAATAAAAAAAAAACAAACACAACCATTTAACACAAACCATTTAAAGAAGTATTTTAGTTTATTCGTAATTAAATATACTTATAGGCAAAAGATCAAAAAATACAACCTATTAGAAATTAATGTTTTTTTTTTTTAATTCATGAGCTTAAAAAAGAAATTTTAGCATATCAATATACACCCATTGATTCCTGTTGGTGTTTTGAACCTTACAAGAAATCTTCCACCGGAGATATCATAATGTATCAATCTGTCAACATTAGCTGTGTATCGGAATAACAAGTTAACATTTCTCTTGACTCCGCGTCTCGGGTTGGGGATATAATTTGTTATCAAACGTCACTCTGGCACAAATCCGTTAGA